AAAGGACATATGAAGGAGAAATTATGCATACAGTGACCATTTTCTACAAAGTTCACATGAAAGTTAAGATGTATATATGTGAATTAGAAAAATATTGACAGCTTTGTTTCTTCAACAAACATCTTTTAAGAACCTATTATGTATCATGAAGCAGGCCTTGTAGGATCCTTGAAGCAAGGAGCCATGTTTGTCTTAGTTTTTGCTGTATCCCATATACTTGGCATGTTGACTGTGACATAACAAGTGAATATAATTTGGAAAACAGAGCTGCACAAAATGTACTTACAAAAAATAATGCAATATTGAAAGTGTTCTATAAATATGGAGAAATTACTATGGAAACCCAGGGTTTAGTTTAATTTTTTATTTTTAAGGAAATCTATTTTTAAGCAAATAGATTAATTMCAGTGAAAGAGGGCATGGAAGGCCTTTTGGAAGAAGGGGTGTCTTTGAATTGTGACTGAAATTTTAGGTAGAAGTCTGACAGTTCATTATTAGTGTACAGCATCTGGGGAAAATTGAATTGCCTTGAGGAACGAGGTAGCCAACATATATGAGTGAGGCAGACTGTGTAGGAATTGTGGGAGCCCCCAGAAGACAAGACCCACCTACTTGGGAACAACTACTCTATCCACTCTWGCTAATTATTACTTTGTGCAACTGAATACTTCAGGACACCATCACAACCAAGTTTTCAAAAGAAGCTGCAAATCTGGAGTGTTCTGTAAAATCTCTCCTTTTAACCATCTGCAAGCAATTAAGAACACTTTCAATATTGCATTGTTTTTTGTATGTGCATTTAGTGCAGCTCTATTTTCCAAAATTTTCACTGAATTCTTGTTATGTGCCAGCATGTCAAGTACATGGGATACAGTAGCAACTAAGACAAACGTGGCTCTTTGCTTCAAGGATCCTACAGGGCCTCCTTCTCAGTATATAATAGGTTCTTAACAGATGTTTGTTGACGAAACAAAGCTGTCAATATTGTTCTAATTCACACATATGCATCTTAACTTTCATTTAATTTATATTGGCTTCATATTTGTGTCTTTGACTTCACTGTCATTCCTGTCCTTATTTAGGAGATAATCCACTTCTCACTCACTTTCAGGAGTGATGGCAGATATTCATTRAAATAGCATACAAACTCTTTAAGCGTTGTTTTCTTTTTCTTTTCTTATTTTATTTTATTTTCTGGTAATGAAGCTTGAACCCAGGGGTGCTTAACCACTGAGCCACATCCCCAGCCCTTTTATTTATTTATTTATTTATTTATTTATTTATTTATTTATTTATTTATTTATTTATATTTTGAGACAGGGTTTCACTAAATTGCTTAGGGTCTCACTAAGTTGCTCAGACTGGCTTTGGGATCCTCCTGCCTTTTCCTCCCAAATCCCTGGGATTACAAGCATTCACCATCATACCTGGATTTTAACATTGTTTTCTATGTTATTTATACATTGAAACTGCATCTAATAAGGAGATAGCTCAAGTTTGAAATACTGTATTTTGAATGATGCTGTGGGATAAAATGACTACTCAAGATTTTGCATTTTTTTTGCTCTTTTCAGAAATATCAGCTATAATAATATATGTATCAGAGTATTTTTTTAAAAAACTTGTCTTAAAACTTGCAAGAACTTAACATTTGCTTCCTTTTTAAAAAATTCCTAATAAGCCATTTTATAACAGAAAGTTGGGTTAGACAAAAACTATGTATTGCAATGAAGAGGACTTTCCCAAATATGATAAATTACACAAAATCTTTTAACCTTGTGTTTTGAGCACAAAGGCACCTTTAAGGGTRTCTCCAGTAAGTGCTATATTAACACAGAAGTTTAGTTAATTACAGCCACTATTCTCACGTACMTTAACTGAGTGTGAATACCAAGCAATTTAATAGTGTGCCCCTGAGCATTAATACCTAATGAAATTGGATTCCATGTTTCCTCTAATGAGCTCATTGCTTTTCTAAATATGGTCATTGCAGGTAAATGATCAATAGCCTTGAAACTGACACCACTACTGGATTATTTTGGCAAGACAGAAAGAGTCTTCTTAAATAAAATAAGAATTTGTGCATATACATGTCAGACCATTTTCTAAATAAAATCATATATAACAGGAATGACCATATGTATCAGTAATATTTTGATGAATGACTTAGTAGAAAAATGTGGACAATCATCTKATTATAGAGCAGTGGCTTCATATCCACGTGATATATCATAAGTTTGGAAACTGGATCCTGTGTGTTTATTAACTGAGAGATTTCAGGGAAAGTAGGCTATGCATAGATCTGATTTCTTTTTAAATTTTTTTTGTAGTTGTACACAATAACTTTATTTTATTTTATTTTATTTATTTATTTATTTATTTTTATGTGGTGCTGAGGATCGAACCCAGGGACTTGCATGTGTGAGGTGAACGCTCTACTGCTGAGCCATAACCCCATCCCCCTAGATCTGATTTCTTTTATGGTGTAAGAGTTCAGTACATACCAAGTCTACTGTATTAGTGTCCTCATGCTGCTGTAACAAATGACCATCAACTGATGTATTAATGAAAAAAAAAAAAAACTCTTTCTCTCACACTTCCAGAGACCAGAAGTTTGGAATAAGTGTTGGGAATACTACAGCGTCTCTGAAGCTTCCCCAGGAAAATTTGCTCCCCTTTCCTCCAGCTTCTAGCAGCTGTTGGCATTCTTGGGCTTGTGGTTGGATATCTCCAATCTGTGTCTGTGGTCACAATGACTCTTTCTCTTCTGTCTCTGTCTCTCCTTTATGTGTATTTTATAAGGATTCTTGTCAGTAGTTTAGAACCTATCTGCATGATCTCCTCACCTCGAAATCCTTGATTATATCTGCAAATACCCTTTTTCCAAATAGTCATATCCATAGATTCTAGGGATTAGGATGTGGACATATCTTTTTGAGGATTACCATTCTCCCATCCTATGCACCTCTCTCACTTTCATTATTTTTTGTAAGGCTGAGCACAACCACTATGTAAGTCATTGCAAGTGCTTTACTGCCATTTTACTTTATGGAATAAATAATTTCCATTGTGTATGTATTTACAGATTTTGAATACTTACAACCACCATCTCATTATCTGCCTTATACAGATAAGGAAATTGAAATTCAAAAAAAGTAAGATCATGCCCATGGTTATAACAGTTATTAAAAATGTATTTTATATTTAAGGTTTGTGCATATGTAAATTTAGATGTTCACATCTTCTTTAGAAATCAATGTGTTAGATTTCACAAGATGGATTTTCTGCATCAGATTTTTTGGACTCTGTGTTTCTCCCTGTCAGATAACCTTCCATAAAATCGTGAACATTACTTCCAGATTTAACCTTAGAAACAGCAAGCCAAAGTGAGGTTTTGAAGAATAACAGCTGTGGGCATGAGATTCAAGTTAGAGCTTATTTCATCCAAAGCTATCTTCCAGTATCCAATTCTGGAATACTTTATCCTGAAACAGATTGGGGGTTTCTTTTTTTAAATGAGCCTTAAATACAGCATAGTGCTTAAGAACACACACACATACGGCTATATGTAAGTCCTCTCATCCTTCATTTATGGACTATTCTTGTGTCTCCAGTCCTTATTTATAAAATGGGTGATAATAGTGTCTCCTGAGGTCCTTAAAGGAATAAATGAATCAATACTGTGCTTAAATAATAACTGTTGCAAAGTATACGACAATGCATAGCCATTATTATCAATTCTAAGTATTTTTAAGTAAAGCAATAGTAAAGGTACCACATTCAAAATTGTGATGGAGTTGTAAGCTGGATAGTTTTATTTGGCCCCAAACAGAATTTCAAAGCAGAACTTGAGCTGAGAGTTTCCTGGTTCATGGGATTCTTAATATTTGATTCCCTTTTGTAAAGCAAAATGTTTTTATGCCCCTTTCCTTTTATGTTTTTACTTCCCTTTAAATTGGTGTGGTCCCAATTTAACATCCCTTCCTTTACATTTCTTCCCCACCTTATTCTGCTATTTATTCTTTCTTGGGAAAAATTTTAAGTTTTAATTTTCCAAGATAATTCTTRAACTTTAGTATTCCCAGGTTTCCGAAGTAATGTGATTTCATAAATGAGTCTGAAGACACAATCCTATTAGCTCCACGCCATAAGCATGAGCTTTGCCAAGAATACCTGAAACTATCTTCTGTTGGCATGTTTACAATTGTAAAACATCTACTGTGACTCAAAGCTTATGGATTAAGGATGGGAAAATTCAGAGCACTGGTACCCTTTAGCTCTAAGTGGACTTGTGTCATTGGCACATCATTTCCAACTAAAAATGGTTGACTGCTGTCAAATGGGATGAACTTAATGCTCAGTTTGTTTATATACACATCGCAGCTCAAATATTTATAATATGCCAGTAGAACAAGGAGGAAAATGACTTGGAACTTTCAGTCATTTATTTGTGTCTTTTCATCTATTGGCTTTCTTTGCTAATTTTAAATTTATGAACCTCATAAAATTATAACACCTTTTTTTCATGAAACTCACTGTTCATTTCATAATGAAGAAAAATTAATGTTTGTTTCTCATAGACTCCAGACATAAACAGTTATCATCTATGATTGTATAGATTTTTTTTTTATTAGCAAATGTCAGCACAGGAAAGTGGGATGTATTTTCTCCATGTGAATCCATGACTCAGTGATGGAACTAGCCATAGATACTTGAATACATTTAGTTCTGATTTTGTCCCCCTGAGCCATGACTTATTTCTTCACACCACCTCAATCAGGAAGTGGTTTCATTTCCTGGTTCAGAAAGCTTTTCACTGTCAGCACTTAAGAGAAGATATTCCAAAATGCACTGTTTTCAGTAAATGAAATTCTGATCACGTTCACGACCGACCRCAGTGCCTTGCTCTTAGACACAACACCAGGGGGGTCTCTTTCTCTGATGAAGTGAAAGTGAAGGGTGTCTGCCTCATTTCATAAGGTGTCTTCTCCAATATCCAGGTGAGCACAAAGTGCCGAGGCCTCTGGTGGGAGTGTGTCACAAATGCCTTCGACGGGATTCGCACCTGTGATGAGTATGACTCTATATATGCAGAGCACCCCTGTACGTAAGCCTTGATGCCCTGCTTGCCAACAGAGGAATGCCATGGGAAATGGGACTCCCATATCCACTGCCTGTTTTGATTTCTGTAGTACTAAAGTCCTGTCCAGTTAGAGATGTTTCTATTAGAAATACTTTTATTTCTGAAATGGGTATTGAAACACATTTTAGCACATTTTGTCTTTTCCCATATATTTGTAAATTCCTTGAGTGTAAAATATCATCTCTGCTATTACAGTGCCTCATATCCAGTAGGCTTGCAGTAAGTGCTTTTTTAATTGAAATGAGTCTTTTTGTACTGTGTTTTTATGATTAGAATTGACAAGTTAGATGAATAACATTTCAGAAATGTCTTTTCAGCGAKGACATTTTTTTCAAATAGGAAGTTTGCATTTATTTTAATCATATTTGCTAAGACAGAAGTAGAGATAGAGAGGCAGAGACAGGAGGAGATAGATAGTCAAAGGCAGACACACAGAATGTAGGGATCAGAGGATAAAAAAATCAACACCAGTGGCACATTACTGGTAGCACATGAGAGCCAGTGTCTTTAACTTCTTTACTTTCAGCTTTAAATCCTAGTTGGGTATTAGCAAGGCCCATGTTACTATAAATAAGATCTCTTAAATTATAAAATCTTATTGTTGATTCTTTCAATCCTTCTTTATTATTTAAGACATTGAGCTGTGCCAAGAAATACCAGTTCTGTTATTAAAGCAAAGTGGTTTTAGTCCCATTCAAAGCAAATGGTGGGTGATGGAGCCACATGGCAACTTCTTTTCTTAAGATGAATGAGAAGTCGAGTCTTGGAATGTGACATTTCCCCCTGGACAGCTGTTTCAGTCCAAGGAAAAGCACTTAGAGCTCTTTACCTGCTATTTAGGAGTTAGGTCCCTGAAACATTTTTAACATAATGCAGAATGTTAAAGCACTTTTTACTAATTTTTTGTTTAAAAGTCTTTTTAATTCTTTCCATTTTCCCCTCCCCATACTACCTATAAAGAAGCATGATTTGGCAAACGGGAATGGAAAGTCATGTTGGGCACTCAGTACATAGCCAGAGCTGAGAGGAAAAACAAACGATTAAACAGTTCAAAAATTGAAGAACTATTATGTACATTTATTCAAGTGAAAAAAAAATTACTATAAGCCCACTATACAGAGAAAACCTCTGCTTACAAATRTGTTCCTCTTAAATATTTTGATTATTCCATCTCACATGTTTCCTTTTGTTCTTATTATTTTCAAATAATAAAGACCCAGACTACTTTTGAATTTTATGAAAAAAAAAATAAGGATATACAGGTCCAGTCCTTTAAAAAAATTCTTTCATATGTTTAAAGACAACAAGAATGAAAATCTATTCTAGAAGAATATCATATCAAAACCCTGTACATTAGGATGTTTCCTATGAGGAAGTAAAATTTCATTTTTAGTTTTGCTATTTTTATACAACCACAGTTAGAAAACTTTCCATTGCCTTCCTACTGTGTCTGACCCTAGGTGTTTCGCAGAGCTCCTATTGATAAAGATAATTYGAGATGCTTCTCCATGCACAAATTGACATTTTAGCTCCATTCTGACAGCTGAGTCCCACATGATACCAAAAACATTCCTCATCCGCTTGCATGAGTAATTTGCTTGCAGGGCTTCCCTTCTGGAACCAAGCTGACCATGTAACCAATGGGTTATCCCATTGGCAGGAGTCCTGGAGCTCCAAGGAGACCCTACATGTAGGGAAAAGGGTGGGAAAAAGAAACCAGAGCCCATGAGGGTCTGCATGAGTGCAGACCACCCCATCCCAATGGTGCTGCTGGCCCCAGGTAGTCCCAGGCTCAAAAGTGGAATGAGACAATGTCAAAGGAGGCCCTCAAAATACTCCTTGGCCTGGAACACTGAATGAGAGACCACTTGTACATGCCATTTGAAATAAATAGGATATGCTGAAAAAAAGAAAAGAAGAAGAAGAAAGAAAAAGAAAAAACCTGATGTCATTTATTTAGTTTTATATTTTTCTTTTCCCTCAATTTCTAGAAAAATGAGCCTCAGATTTGGAATATTCAATTTTTTTGAAATAATGCCAACTTTTGAGATATTACAAATTAAATTCTAAAAATTTAATATTCATACATATTAATGAGATAAGCATATATAGTATGTTCTCCTACAAATAAGGTAGAGGAGGATTTTATGCTTTGACTTCTCAGATACAGAGATATTTTCTCATTTTAAATAAGGAAAAAAAATGGCTGCATTTCTTGCAAGCAACAAATAACTACATGTGCTCTAACTTTACCTCATCATTGAGAAGAAAATATTTAAAAGACAAGGATACCTCAGATCACTATGAAAATAAAATATAATTACTGTGAAAGGAATAAATTTTGTTACCCTTGTGTATCCACTAACATGGTTGTAATTCCAACTTCATGTAATTAACTCTCCCTTTGTGATATAACTTCCTTGCTGTTAATGTAGCATAACTGTCATTCTGAACTTATGAGTCTTTTCCAAAAGGTGACAGCAGCTGCTCTGCTTCTATTTACCTGAGCCTTTCTTTCCTGTTCTACATTCTTATTCCCTGTAGCTTTAAAATATGCTCATTTGACAGTACAGAACTAAAGRGTTAATGTGGAGTTTTGGCCAAGAAGTGACATGATTTGAAGGGCTGAAAGAGAACATGATCTGGCTTCCAGAGATGGTCTTCTATTTAATAGCAGAAATGAATTCTGCTTTCTAAAGGTCTTCTCGTGGTTCCCACCAGTCTGAATTGTCAACAGGAGTCTTAAAATATTTTATCTTATATTCATGTGCAAAATTCTAACAATTATTTTAAATATTTCAAGAAAATGTCAAAAACTATGGAGATCATTTATTAATTTATTCATCGAGTATTTATTGGGTGACTGCCACAGAGAAAATATTCTACCTTCAATTTAGCATTCAGCTATAACACTCCAGAGCAGGAAGCAAAAAGAAAAACATTTTCTTAGTCCCCACTATCTACCAGGATGCAATCTGCTAAAATGCCAACAAAACTAAGTAATAAAAATTTATAATGGCAATAAGTTCAGACTCTTTTTGAATTTTATGAAAAAATTAAGGGTATTCATAGCCAAGTTTGTACAAATGTCAAATCTGAATTCTATCATTGGGTTTGTACCAATGTATATGGTTGTCTGGCTTTTTTATGTTGTTGTTGTTGTTTTTAATGTACCTCTGTGAGTTAACATGTCTCTTCCTCTGACTGCTGTAACCATGTGCCCTGTCATCCAGTGAAGCTGGTGGTCACTCGAGCATTGATGATTACTGCAGACATCCTAGCTGGATTTGGATTTGTCACCCTGCTCCTTGGTCTTGACTGTGTGAAATTCCTCCCTGATGAGCCATATGTTAAAATGCGCATCTGCTTTGTTGCTGGAACAACATTACTAATAGCAGGTACTGGATGGGATTAGCAACAGGGGTAGAGATACTCACCCAAGGACAGCACTCCTTTCCTGTTCTGGAGCCGTTCATTTTAGGGTCATATGTTGCTTGCTTTACTAGATTGAAGGAATAGCAAGCATTCCTACCAGCCCTGCTTCCTACCTTTGGAATCACATAGTTAATCTTCTGTTATTATTTCAAGATAAGGTATGCCAAAGTTTCCCAACTAATTTTTAGCCAATTAAAAAGATATACAATGCTTTATTTCTTAAAAATAATTTCTTTTGTAATTATTCCTAAAGTTAGATCCTAAAGTTAAGTTCCAAGCTGTCACCTTCTACTTATGCCTCACCAATTTTTTAATGTAATAAATGAATTGGGCCAAGTCCTATGTTACATGTTCTTCATATGCCAACCCATTTGATCATAAACAAACAGATTGTATTATTAGCTTACTTAACAAGCATATGAAGAAATGGAGTTCTGAAAGCTAATGAATCAAATGTAAATAATAAACAAGAAGTCAATAAGTACTTTTAAAGCAGTGTGTTTGGGGCTGGGAATGTGGCTCAAGCGGTAGTGCACTCACCTGGCATGCGCAGGGCGCTGGGTTTGATCCTCAGCACCACATAAAAATAAAATAAAGATGTTGTGTCCACCAAAAACTAAAAAAAAAAAAATATTAATAAAATTCTCTTTCTCTCTCTCTTTAAAAAAAACTGTGTTTAATGGCATAGCAAAATTGATATTTCACTCAGATCTATGCTCAAATTCAAAGTGTAGTACTCTATCATGACATAATGTATTTTTTGGGTCTTCATGCAAGTTGGGAAGAGATATATTAWTGAAGAAATCAAAGTACTGGAAGACTGTAAACCAGAAGGGCATTTTAAATGGTAGCAGCAAAAATTTAGCAAGCAGTTATGTGAGAACCTGAGCAGGTAGTGTGAAGTAGTAAATGGATAGGGAATTTGGAACTAAAGATACCTGAGATATATCTTCATGTCATGTCATTTCCATATCTGCAAAACAGGGTAAAGCTGGGATAGTGATATCTACCCTGAATTGCTATCGTGAATTTTCAGCCAGGCACARTGGCAGGTGACTTTAATCCTAGATATTTAGGACATCACAGCAAGAGGCAGGAGGATTGCACATTCAAGCCTGAGCAACAGCTGGCCTTGAGTTTGTGCTCCTCTTGTCTCAGCCTCCCTAGTGTCTGGAATTACAGTTGTGCCTCACCATGAATGGCAAAACTAAATTTAAAAAAAATAAATGAGTCGGTGAAAAAAAATCCAGTAGGAATTACTGAAGTAATGACTAAAGTAAATGCCCAGGTATGACTAAATCTTCGAAACCACTATTCAGAATGACAATGCTATACACACATATTTTTAGAAGTGTATTATCTGTTTTGAAGTTTGAAAAAGACATTTCCAAATTAACATAGAGGTAACAATATTATAGAAAAAGTGTGGTTGTTCGTACCTCTTTTTGTTAGGTTATAAAAAATATTCATGATTTGATCCTTCTTAAATTATTTGCATTAATTAATTAATTAATTAATTAGAAGAATTAAACAAAAATGGTTATTTAAACTAACATATAAGTCTTCTCAGGGGCAAAATGGAAAGATTTAGAAATTCTAGAAGCACCCTTTTACAGTGAAAAAAGGGTGTTTCTCAGCTTAATACCTTTCTTTCTTGCACCTAGGCCTCAACATATAACTTACACACCTTTAAAGGAAGGGAACCCTGGAAGGCTTCATTTCAAACCTGACAATTGTCAGAGAGGCTAAATGGTGGGAATTCAATTTTACTTAAAGGAAGTAATGTTTGTTTATTCTTATATGGTATGGAGGTGGTAGATAAGAATTTACTTAAAAATAAAGACAATTTTTACTTTGGATTTTTTTTGACCCCAACACATTACAATGACTATAATTACAATATAAATGACTTCATATACAGTTGGCATTGCCAGGTGCGGTGGCGCATTCCTGTAATCCTATCGGTTCAGGAGGCTGAGGCAGGAGGATCTCGAGTTCAAAGCCAGCCTCAGCAAAGAAAGCAAACCGCTGAGCAATTCAGTGAGGCCATGTCTCTAAATAAAATACAAAATAGGACTGGGGATGTGGTTCAGTGGCCAAGTATTCCTGAGTTTAATCCCTGGTACCACTCTCCCCCCMAAAAATATTAAACACAGTTGGCATTTGGTGCTGACTATGTAGCTGGTATGACTTCAGTCATGGGTTAGGGAAGAAAGAGAACACTCTTAATGACATACTTGCAACATGCTCCATATTATTTTACAATTCTCTTTCATTCAGGTGCTCCAGGAATCATTGGCTCTGTGTGGTATGCTGTTGATGTTTATGTGGAACGTTCTTCTCTGATTTTGCACAATATATTCCTTGGTATCCAATATAAATTTGGTTGGTCCTGTTGGCTTGGAATGGCTGGGTCTCTGGGCTGCTTTTTAGCTGGAGCTGTCCTCACCTGCTGCCTATACCTCTTTAAAGGTAAATAAAATAGCACACTTCCTTGCCTCCACTATTATCCTTCCARCCCCAGAGAAATACATCTCATTTACTTATAATGGTACTTATTTACACTCTTACCTATTACCATTAAAAATTCCATGTGTTCAATGACAATTGACTTGCAATACATAAGCTTTATTGCTCAAGCACAAAAATATAGAGTATATGTTCTTCAATACTAAAGTGAACTGAGAGGCAGCAAAATAATTGTTAAAGAAATTGATGTGGTACATTTGGTTTCTAAAAAACACAGTATTCAAACAGAAAATTCCTTTCATCATCAGAAAAAAAAAGTAAATTCCTCAGCTTAATTTTAAATTTAAAAATAACTTTCAGGATGAAAATGTTATATTTTTCCCCTCGGATTTTTCCTAGGATTCCTAGATGATTCCTACTAAGAAGTATGATTCTTGTTCCTTTGGGGGTGAGGAGTGGGGGTGGGGGCAGGGGGTGGTAGGAACAACCATAGAATGACATCATTTTTTTCTTTTTCCAAAGTTTACCAAATCACACTTACTGTTTTATTTCTGCATTTTCAAACAGATGTTGGGCCTGAGAGAAACTATCCTTATTCCATGAGGAAACCCTATTCAACGGCAGGTGTTTCCTTGGCCAAGTCTTATGGGGCCCCTCGGACAGAGACTGCCAAAATGTATGCTGTGGACACAAGAGTGTAAAGAGCCACATTATCAGTCTGTTTGTGTTATTTAATTAATTAATCAATACGTTCAAATTAATAAAATAGAGGCTGGGACAGTTATTTACACTTCATATTCAACTAAATTAATGGCTAGCTTAATCAAACCATCACTTCTGTTTCTCTTTCTACTCTCCCCATACACTTTCCCTGTGTTTTAAGGTAAGGTTGCTAGAATGTGGAGATGTTTGTTCCTGATTTCTATATTGCTACTAGACATGACCACATGGTGATAATAAAACATAAAGCAATCTTTAAAAGTGGTTGAGATTCTAATCTTTGGAACTTCTGACAAGCTTTGTCTTTCGGGTCACTTTTTGTGTTCTCAAGGAGGACTGTGTTACTTGATAACTTTAAGGAATTTTTTTTCTGAATTTAGGCTTGTATTTCAAAGTTTAACATTGCTTTGACTTAGCTAAAATAGAAAGAACCATCATCTGATATACCAGCCACCAGTGGGAGTTAAAGATAAGAAGTTCCTCCATCACATTCTCAATGTCAAAGGCATGTACTAAATTAATACTGGAGTCAGGAGTGAATTTCTGCCTCATTAACAATGTAAGAAACCCATGTATTACTTTAACAGTACAAACATTGCCTATATAATGCCATTATTAGGTAGTAATAGTTATAGCTTCAGGGAGTTCACTCAGATACTAATGGAAATATATATATATATATATATATATATATATATATATATATATACACACACACACACACATATATGTATATGTGTGTATGTGTGTGTGTGTGTCTGTGTTGCTGGGACTTCAACCCAGAGCCCTGTGCATGCTAGAAAGTATTCTATCAACTGAGCTATATCCCCAACCCCTCAGCAACTAAATATATTTCTTAAATAAACCACATTGGAATTTACCAATTCAAAATGCCCACCAACAATTTCTTAATCCCAGAAGCAAAATATCCAATAGATGACAAAATCAAATAAAATATATATTGACTGAAATAAATGGAAGTTCCTCCTCTTTACTAAAAAAATCAATTTTCTTATAAAATAAGTGGGGTTTTGGAGAAAACAGGATCATATATACACTTTAAAATATCAATGGTGATTGCTAATGGTATTTAATTCATATTTATAATGTAATCATGTTGGGTTTTCAAATTGAACAGTTTGTTAAAAGTTTAGAAAACTTCATCTCAACTTTTTGATTCCTTGTAACACAAATGAAAAAGATTAATACCCTTGCAGTATCTTAGTATCAACAGAACTAGAAATTGGTTCTTTGGAAAAATTGAAATTAACTTGTGAATTTCTGAAGATCCCAAAAGAAATATTTCAAATTTAGAAAGCTAAGAATTATGTAATACTTGAGATGATAGATTCCAAGTGAGTGTATTAATGTTATTGAAAATGTTGTTTATGACTCCATTCAGTATCTTTTTAACATTATCCTCTGAAGCAATTCTAACTTTAGAATTAAGTACAATTGAATATTATTATATGGATATTAACTGTGTAACTGACATTTAAAATTATAGATTATTCATAGTAGTTATATGAGTTTTATTCTATAGATTTTAAAACATGTTGTATTCCTTAATCTTGGTTTTTATTTCTATTTTTATTCCTACTTCAATATTATGTTATATTATTTGTCATGTTTTATTTATTCCAACAAATTTCTTGAAATTCTTCTGAGCAAAACCAGAAAAATTAAATAGTTCATTAGATTATAAATATATATATATATATATGTTTTTCACTTTAAACTTTTCATTTGTATGAGAAAATATGTCAGAGGTGATATAATTGATATATATGGTCTTTCTGAATTTTTTCTCAATTAAAATGCTTTATATCCAGAGAGGAATATCAATGGGGTGAGGCAAGTTATTTGAAACATTTCTTTCTTTTTTAAAATTTTTTAAATAATTAAAAAAATTTTTTTAATTGTCAATGGACACAATATCTTTATTTTATTTATTTAGTTAGTTATTTTTATGTGGTGCTAAGGATCAAATCCAGTGCCTCACACTTGCTAGGCAAGCACTCTACCACTGAGCCACAACCCTAGCCCCAAATAACTTTATTTTTATTTGTTTATTGTTTATGTGGTGCTATGAATCAAACCCAGTGCCTCATTCATGCTAGGCAACTGCTGTACCACAGAGCCACAATCCCAGCTCTGAAACATTTATTTCTAAACAACTATAACTTAATGATGTATCAAAAATTGAAAATAATGCAAAATATATTTTATATAGCACCATTCTCCTGGGGATGATGTTTGGTTTATTTCTAATTTTATCTGTAATAAATAGTATCGCTATGAGCATTCTTGAACATGATCTTAGAAACATGCTCACTCCCTTCTCTTCAAAGTATACCTACAAGTGGGATTGCTCCATTACAGTTATGCATATGTTCAGATAGAGTGAATATTGCCAAACAGTTTTCTAAAGTGCTTGTACCAATTACACTCCCACAGTAGTATATGAGAGTTCCAATTGCTACACAGCCTTCCCAACACCTAGTACGGTCTTAAAATTTAGTTTCACGTGTGTGGGTGATGGTGATGTTTTTACTGGTACCAAAAGATAGAAAGCTGTATTCTTTCACTTTAATCTTCCTAAAAACAAATGTAGCCTTAAATATTTTATATATTTATTCATCACTTACAAATCCTATTGAGTAAAATTCATGTTCAAATATTTCTTTTTGCCATTGTCATTCAATTAATGGTATTTCCTCATGAAGATGATTTGTTTATAATGTAGTCCAGTTTGTTATTTTATTCTCTTTAGGATTTTCTKTCTTTCTCTTTTTTTTTTCTTTTTGGTGTGTAACCTGATTAAAAACTTTTGTCTACTTAGCTGGGTGCAATGGCAGAGGTTTGTAGTCTCAGCAACAAGGGAGGCTGAGGCAGGGAGATTGCTTGAGTCCAGGCATTCAACACCAGCCTGGGCAACATAACAAGATCCTATTTCTAAAACCAAACCAACAAAATCTATCCAGTGATATTCTCCTGTTTTCTTCTAAGCTGTGTATTTTAATGAGCCTTTATATTTTCTTCCATGCTAGCTTTAGCATACATACAGAAAATTGTAGAAATTTCAAATGCATAATTTGATAAATCTAGGACCAAAACACTACATAATCAGCATTGAGATCAAGAAATAATACTACAGCAGAACTTCAGGAACTAGTTTTTACCGACTTCCTAGATAATTCCTCTGCAGCTTTCTTGGCCCTAGTTAATTAACTGACCTAAGTTTAGAAATCTTTAAGTTAAAAAAAAAGACTAAGTAAATATAATTTGCAGATAGGAGTATTATACAGCTATACTACATAGCTTTCTAAATATTCCCTTTATTATATAGTTTTCTTGTTTATGGAACTGTGAACCTAAAAATTTTCAAGCATACTAAATTACAGCATAATGATGAATATATAACTCACAAACAAATGTATTGTTAAGAGAAGTTGACTGACTACATACACACACATGCAAATGTACACATGCATGTATAATTGATAATCATTGAGAATAAAATGAAGTAGAGCACTTGTGCTGAGAGCCATTGCCAAGTAGGAATGACGCATGGCATGACCCAGGTCATTTGCAGTGACATTGCATGTAAGGTGAACTTGCTCAAGGACCAGGGAGGATGGGGGTTAGGGYGCTCMTTGGGTTTAGGGCGGTTCCAGGTTTAAGGTGTATCCTGCTGGGAATAGGGCGTATCCTGCTGCCTCCAGGCACCCGCTCCTTGAGTTCCCCTTGAGTTCTCAAGGGATTGAGAAAGTATTTGGGATGCAGAGCCCAGTGGAAGAGGGGATTTTGCCCAGAACCTGTGTGTAGAGTGCCGGTGACAGTTTGAGAGARTTGCTGTTTGAATCTACAAGGTGTGTGGTGGCTCGTGATTTTGTGCCCAGCCAGACTGCGGCACACTTGATTTACAATGTTGAAAAGTATTTCTTTGCTTTCCAGAGCTCATTTCTCTGAAAATAAGTTGTTATAGACGTGTGCTTCAGAAGTCATAGAGACTCAATGTTTTGTTTTGTTTGGAAGCATGAACAGCAGTTTCATTTTAAGAGTATTAGAAATGTCTATCACTTATTTTGAGACTCAAGTCTGCTACTCAATTGAAATTTAAGTGTTTTGAATAAATTTATTTTTAAGAATCAAATGAATGATTCCATTGCCACCAGTTTATTTGCAAAGACAGGATATTGGACAAGCATCTTTTACATACTTCCTGTGGAGAGACATATTAGCTTTCAAAAATTTCTTTTAAAAATAACAGTAGTTTGTTTTGTGTTTGTTTCCACAGAAAGCTGAGTTCAGATCCTGCAAAAAAAAATACTTGTGAGGTTTATTTTAACTATTACTCAAACCAGTGAATTTTAAAATAACTGACTTATTTTCAATTTTTCTTCATAAAAATTAGAAAATATATAAAATACCAAATATAGAAAAAGTAAAAAAAAGGTAATGCAATTTCAATGCACTGACATGCAATGACAATCAGGAATGTAGTTATTTTCTCCCAAATGTTTAAACCTCAAATAAACATTTTAAACTTAGATGTGAATCACTACGTTAGTGAATCAGACATAGAGAATAATATTGATTTACTTCTAGAATGAGTTTTTGAGGTCATTTTGCTTTTTCCCCTTATTCTACAAAGGTATCATTTTAATTACTTTTTGCAATAACATGAAAAAAAAAAACACTGAGGCCTTTTTTAAAATGATGGTGTCATATACAATAATATTATGTCTAAATCTTTAAGGATTGTTGCTGATTYGTTTAAAAATAGTTACATCATTATGTGGGGTAGATACTAGCATTTTAGTCTTAATAAGAAAAGCTGGGAGCTGTCCTGAACTCACTCACCACCTTCATTTTCTCATCCAAGCAAACATTAAGCCCCACAGCTTCTAACTCATTAAAAGCCTCTTAAGTCATTTTCTTAGTCCCAGTCATTATCTTCATCCTAGCCCTCATCATC